CGGATTAGATCAGCGTTTTCCACTATTTTATGCCACGGAGCAAATTAAGTTAAGAAAAGAAATATCATAAATGTAAGGAGAAGACAGGGAGAAAAAGAAAAACTTAATTTGTTATTTTTTTTTCTTAGATGAAATTAGAAGAACTTATTTTGATGACATTTCTAACATAATTTACTTCTGGATTAAGACACTTTGTTATCATTATTTTATAAGCTTAATTGGACATTTTAACCTTAGTTGTAAACAGATATAATATACCGTGTAACTGTTTAATTTTGACGCAGAATTGTGATTCATCACACAGTACTGGCTCAAAGACGTATGACGTCTCTATGAAAAGACGACTTAAAACCAGATTGAAATATTGTATATAGGCATGTGGGCCGGTGTAGATGATCTCAGAAAAACTCTACATGAGGACGATATCCCTCACATAAAGCTTGCTGTTATTTTAAGGATTTTTAATAAGCATTGTGTAGAAATATAGGCTTTCAATTGAAAAACCATAGATAACTTGTGTTTTGGTTGGTTCGTCAAAACTGAAACTAATTTTAAAATGGAATACTCAAATCCTGCATTATTTTAGAACTAGGGGCCTTTTGTATCCCTTGAAATTTGTTTGACATTCTTTGTTTTCACTTATCTTTTTTTTTTTTTTCAACATATTAAGAATGAAAACAAATGCATATCAACAGTTATTCACCACTGAAAAGAGCAGGTTGTTGAATACATTTATTCTACGATTTTTGCGCTAAATATCACATAATGTATGTGATATGCACAGGCAAATGGCAAATGAGTGTGTGCTTCTCTCATATTTACATAGAAGGTACATGCATGAACATAGCCTAACAGCATTTTGACCTCAACACCATACTGAAGAGAAAGCAGTGGTATGGTTGACGTGGTGAATAGCAACCATTTTCGCATAATAAATAAGTTAACAACTGACCAAGTATATAAGACTAGGAAAAACGTGGTACTGTCTATAGAATAAGGAGTCCTCCAAATGGATACGGAAGAGAAGATATAGTCAGAATGACAGCAATGGCTGCTGTGTGCTTGGGAACAAAATGTGCCTCAGAGACCAATACCAGGGTTGTGTTAGATTTTGAGTTGTATTAAGATCTAACAAAATACCTCAATATAAGAAGACACACGTTTTAACAAAACAGAACAGAAATATTCCCCGGAGGGAATTTTGATTTTGGCATGTCAAATAAACTGAAATAATAATTTAAAAGTCTTATTTGCGCTTCAGCAAGACAAAATAACAGCGGTAGGACACTGAATGATTTCAGGAAAACAATGCACATGCGTACCATGTTCCATAAGGTTCATCGTGCGGGCGATCGTGCTTGCAATGCACATTCAAGTTGAATCGTGATAAAGTAATGGTAACAAACAATACATTTTCTTAAATTTGAGCTGTAGAGAAATCGGTCAGAACAATAATAGCGGTATCCATTCTAGACAATTTTTCTGTGAAATATCACAGTATTTTTCACCCCCAAAAGAATGGTGTTTTCACTTAGAATGTTATGGACACTTGAAGGGATGTAGAAGTTATGCGGCAGCCTTGCAAATTTTTAATGTATTGTTCAAGAACAAGCCCAGTTATATCAGGTTTTAAATCGTAAAGCAAAATTTATTTCATCAAAACTAGAGGTATTGCCATGTTATTATTCTCTATCTTTTCGTTTCAAGAATCATTGTAAAATTCTTACTACGCATATATATATACGTTACAATTTTTGGTTTTGCATATGTTGTTTTTTTTTTCTGCAATTTTGTTTCCATTGTATTGTTTCCCTTACTTTTTATAGTGCTTTTTTATAAATGTGTAAAATTTTAAATTAAAAGGACATTGTTTTATGTATCTACTTTGAATAATATTCTAAGTTCGCTTAATTTTATTTCGTCTTTTAGCGTACTTAGAAACTGCAGTCAGTGGACGCATGGATTTGCTGCAACTCAACTGAAAAAAAACAAACAAACAAACAAAGAACTTTTTCTGTCACTTGAGCTCTTGTTCTAGTCAGTGGCTCACTTCAAGGTCTTGCCTCTTTGAAGTGATTATTTAACAAACTGAAAATCTGTGTTTTCGTGGATTCCTTCTTGCTCTCCTCCTTCTTGGTGGTGGAGATTTTGATCAAGTCCTTCGAATGTGGTACAGTGCATTGACGATGTCGTTTCACGTCTCAGAAGCAGTTGTTATTCTCATCCTTGTTGCTATATCTGTATTTATAAATGGTTGATCGCGTGTTGGAAGATATATAAAACCAGGGTTCTTTCTATGGTGGGATTCAGTTCCCAGATCTCACAAAAAAAGAACGAAGACAGTGCATGTACACAAAACTGTTCCCCGACATTCTGATCTGTCAAAAAGACCACTGGTAGTCCAAGGAGATAGAATCGTAATATTTTCAGCAATGTTGATCTGCATGAGGCTTCCATTTTTCAATTTTCACCAAGGCCGAAGAGGGGTCTGCTAAAAAGGCAGGAAGACCAGATCTGAATAAAGAATGAAGTGTTTTACCTTTATACAAGAGGATGTGAACGAATTTCCCTTACGTCTGTGTGTGAATAAAATGAGCCTCAATCATCACTACCACAGTTTGAGTTTTACCAAGGTTTAACAAAATAATTCAACAGAGACGACACATGAAACATGTAACAAATGTTCTGCGGGTGAAAATGTTGATTGTGGCTTGGTAAATAAACGAAAAATAGGTCTGGCATGTGTGTGTGAAGTGGTTCAAGCAAAGACCAAAACCATCTCAGAATAACAACAGTGAGACATAAAATGATCTCGGATAAACAGTGCACATCATATCCAAGTTCATAGGGAAGATAAAGGTGATTGTTATGCATATTCATGTTAAAGTGGGATCAAATAACTTAGGAAAGATGGTGCGACGGAAAATAAATTTGCCTAAATATGAACTATAGAGATATCGCGTAAAACAATAAAAGGTGTTCATTTGAAAAAAAAAAAAAATGTTTGTGAAATGCCCCAATACCTTCAACACGCCAATGGAGGGATGTTTTTACTTAGAAAGCCATGAACACTTGAAAGGACGTCGAAGTTATAGAACAGCCATGAAAATTTTGGACAGGTAACTGAAGTAACCGTCATCAAGGACTGTTGCCGTAACATTATATTTATAATGCACTGGTATTGTTTACAAAGAAGCCAAGTTATGTCAGATTTCACCAAAACTTGAATAGTTACCATGTTTTCATTAATCATCTTTTTATCTCAAGGACTATTATAAAACTTTGACTACATTAAAACAACTGGTTTTTCGTACGCTTTTATTTAGTATCTTTATATTGTTACCGGCTGTGCAATTGTTTCTGTTCTAAATACCCTTAGCCTTGAAAATTTAACTTGTTTGCTTTGAATAATTGCCTTAGTGCGCTAAAGTTTATTTCCTTATTTAGCGTACTTAGAAACTACAGTCAGTGGAAGCATAGAGTGTTGAAACGCAACTCAAAAAAGAAAAAAAAAAGAAAGAAAGAAAGAAAGAAAGAAAGAAGAAGAAGAAGAAGAAACGTTTTCTGCCATGTATGCTCTTGGTCCAGTGACACACCTCAAGCTCTTCCTTCTTTGGAATAATTATTTTAACAAACCCAAAGTCTGAGTACTCCGTGGATGTCTTCTTTCTCTCCTTCTTCTGGTTGGTGGAGAATTTGGTTAAGTCCATTCGTATATGATACTGTGCAGTGGCGATGACTTCTCACGTTTCAGAAGCAGTTTTTATTCCCATCCTAGTCGTTATGTCTTCATTTTAAAATTATTTATCGTTCGTTGGAAGGTATATAGAACCAGGATTATTTTTCTGATGGCCATGGGATACATTTCCCACATCTTTCTCGGAGTAAGAAAAGACGAAGGCAGTACATGCAAGTATATCAAAATTGTTGCCAAGCATTCTGATCTGTTGAAGAAGATCATCGGTAGTCGAAAGTGATGGATTTGTAATATGTTCTCTTTTTTTAGAACGTAGAAAGACACAAACGTGATGGACTGCCAGTATGTGGACCACCACATTGAGATTTTGAACCATGAAAGAGATTACAGCAATGTTGATCCGTTCAAGAATTTTAACCAAGGCTGAAGAAAGACCTACTAAAAAGCAGGAAGACAGCAAGAAAATTGTTTCACCTTTATGAAAGGGGAAAATGAAGTAATTTCCCTAACGTGTTTGAGTTATATTTGTAACCAGAGTTTGAGTTATGTTTTAACCAAGAAGACCCATGCTTTCGAGTAAAGACTAAAACGGATACCGGGTAAACAGTGCACATCATATCTGAGTTCATTGAAGAGATAATTGAGATTGCTATGCACATTAGTGTTCAAGTAGGATCAAATGATTTGAGAAGGATAAAGCGACGGTAATAAAAAAAACTGGCGTGAGTTTGAACTGTGGGGGAATCGGAGAGAACAATAAAGATGGTTCATTTGTAAAATGCCACAATAAATTCAACCCCTAATAGATTGGTGTTTTTACCTGGAATGCTATGGACACTTGAAATGATGTAGAAGTTGTATAGGACAAGGTTACAAACTTTGGACAGGAAAGTGAAGTAACTGCCATCAAGAAATATCTTCATAACATTTATAATGCAGTGGCATTGTTTAAGAACAAGCCAAGTTATGTCAGATTGTAAAGCAAAACTGTTTTCACCAAAACTTGAAGTATTACCATGTTTTCATTCATCGCCTTTTTCTTTCAAGAGCCATGCACTATAAAACTCTGACTACATAACAATAATTTATTTATTTTTTGCCTAGAATAATTGCCATACTGGGATAAAGTTTATTTCTTTATTTGGCGTACTTTGAAACTGCAGTCAGCGTGCGCACAGAGTTATTGTAACCGAACCTTAAAAAAGTTTTCGGTCAGGTGTGCTCTTGTTCTTGCCAGTGACACACTTCAAGATCTTCCGTCTTTGGAATACTTATTTAAAAAAAAAAACAAATCAAAAATCTGTTTGTTTTGTTTTGTTTTTTTTTTTCCGTGGACTTCTTTTTGTTCTGCTTCGATTTACTGGTGGAGAACTTAACGAAGTGCTTTCGAATGTTGTACAGTGCATTGCCGATGGCGTATATCGTTTCAGAAGAAGTTGTTCTCCGCATCGTTATTGCTATGCCGTAGTTTTCAAATGATTTATCGGTTTTTCTATGACAGAACCGAGTAACAAGGATCTTTTTCGGATGGAAAACAGTTTTCACATCTGGTCTTCACTAGGGGTAAAAAAGGCGAATACAGTCCTTGAAAATTGTTACTCAGTGTTTTCATCTGTCGAAAAGGACCATCGGTATAGTCAATTAAAGATGATGGAGTCTCCTTTGGCATAAGAGAAAACATTACAGTCATTGTGCAAGATGGACCATTCAGAGGCAACTTTTCTCCTTCAAATAGCTGATGAGCAAAGGTCCTTTTGTAAACATGTGCCTTTCCGCAAACAAAAGAGGTGAAATTTGTTATATTATTTACATTTTGTAGTTAACAAATAATTTATCTGGCGAAACGTCTTCCGATTATCACACTCTGCGTAATGAATACGGGACGAATTTGTGATGAGTTACCAGTTCAGAATAAGCAAAAAAAGATAAAAACAAAATAACAATTCATTTTTCCTGTGCAACACTTACTATGATGGTAGATGCAAAGAAAAATTACAGCTTTTGTTGCTCTCCATCTGCTCTCTCCCAAATCACCAAGATGGATATGTGAGACATCAAGCTGACGTAATGTTTATCATACCTGGGAGAAAAACAAGCCGTTAATTTGTCATTGTTTACATGATAATCACTTTGGGAATTTTCATCGTGCGAGCATTGTTGCTATAGAATTATGTCCGTATCAAATTATTTATTTAATTGTTTATTTATTTACCTATTTATCTAACCTTAAAGGCACAAACAAAATATTCGCGTTGATTTGTGCGTTTTGTTCATTTCGTTCATTTCCTTCTTCTTTTGGAGGGGAGGAACTGGGAGTGACTCTAATAATGATAATAATAATAATAATAATAATAATAGTGATAATAATAATAAGTTACTACGTGCGCTGTGATTGGTCAATTTTGCCTGGCGTATTCTACTGTATGGCCAGCTAAAATTCAAAGCTGTTTCATTACCAAAATGTTTCGTGATTTATCGCCAAAACGACGACTTAACAATGTTTTCAAATTGACTTGTTTTGCTTTTGACGTGCATCAGAAATTTGAAACCGTTCTGGGTGAATAGGAATCGATCTCGAAATCATCAGACACACAGTAGAGATATAATAAATATCTTACTAACCTCGTCTTCTCGGTCCGTACCTTTAGTTATGGATCCTCGTTCCCTCCTCAGCTCCACCCCCTTTCGATTTATGGTCCGCACGCTTCGCGCTTGCATGGTTGATACGGTATGGACCTCGAACTCAGTTAGTAAGAGGTATTCATTCATCATTAAATTTCATCCCAACCATGACTAAGCTAGAGCGTATATGATCTTCGCAAACTTCGGGCGTATCAGAGATATGGATATCCTTCCCGGTGAGAAGTAATAGGCATGTATTCATATCGCATTGAAGTATCAATTTTGAGATAGTACGATCACGTACGAGGCGGTAATCATACATTGTAGGTTATAGAGGATGGTCGGTAGGTTTAAAAATTCATTTAACTGGGAGGCTGGAGCTTTCACTGCATAGAATTGTCAGGACTTTATACTGTTGGTATAATTCAGATTTCTTGTTAAAACTTGTCGTCAGTAATAAGGATATTACCAAAGACAAACACAAATTTAAGCGAGGTTTCATGACATATATACATATATTTTTTGCTCAATTGAACTCTATTCCCCTCGACACAGTATATGTCTGCTGATTGTTGTGTCTTTGACTACCATTTTCTGGTAAACTTATGACCGCTATCACCACTGTATGACCTGCCGGATCAATTATAAGTGTCTTGAAATTAAGAGTAAATTGACCAATCACGTAGGGGCCAAACCACTCCCCAAATGTTTCGTCAGTTCTTGGGTATTTCACATTATTTCACATTACGACCACTTTTTTAAGTTTAAAAAACATGTTTCGACAGAACTTCTGTCATCTTCAGTTGAATGAATGATTACAAAGCAAGTTGAATAATAAGTAGGCAAAAATGCTAATTAAGACAAATGTTAACAACAGAACGTGAAAAGGTGTAAACTAAAAGGATAATTTTAGATTTACATGGTGTAATTGCTGATTGAGGCAAGGTAGTTCTTTTTGAACTATCCATATTCAATTGGTCGTTTTCCTTAAAATCTTTACATGTCTGCTGCTATCTAGACCTTTTT